CATTCACACCTTAGCACGTGACATGTTTAGGTCATACCTGGCCATGGAGTCACAGTCACATTCCTGGGTTACAGCTGGTATGAAGTCATACTCTGATGTCATACCTATGTGCAGAATCACACTCTTTGATGATACCTGACCACCAGTGGTCCCAAAGGCAGACAGACTTTGTTCTGTGCCCACCACAGTTCCTGAATCCAGGACCTACTGGGGCCACTTTCAACTCACTAGTCTGCCACTTTCTGAATTCTCTTAAGTGGTTAAGTAGACTTGAAGCCTAACATTACATTTTTTTCTGGAATGAGAAACACTATTTTATAAGTTGAAGATTTCCAGATGTGATGGTTAGTGTTCTTCCCCTAGGTGGCAAAGCACTCGGCCACAAAGGGCAGCTAGTGAATATTTCTTCAATGATTAATTGGTTCACAAACACACCCAATATCACATTTAAGCATACTTTTAACTCCCCCCCCCCAAAAAAACTCAATGTGACAAAACTAATAAGTCAGGATAGTCTTTAAATAAACTTAACTCTTGGAATTAGAACTATGCACATGCCTTCCCTGCCTGGTAGGCATGTAAAGGGTAATTGTTTTGATTATGAGGAAGTCAACTAAGGCAGCTGTTATGAACTAAATTATTTATGAGGTATGGTCATGCATTTCAAATGTAAGTATGTGTATTCCTAATATGATTTCTGGTTTTTATATTCAAAGTGCTTAGTTTTAGAAACAGACACAAATAGGACATACTTATTATAGTGAAAGACAAATAAGTTGAAAATTTATCAGACTTTTCTACCAGAAAAGAAATATTCCCTATTTTCAAATGAGAATATTAAATCTCTAAGACATGTTCTATTTTGACATTAATGTTCCATTTTTTAGCTTATGTATGACCAATAACTTTTCTACACATACATGCATGCAATCAAACTTGTTAAAAATGAACAGTTAAAAATGAACAGTGGAGATTACTTTTCTACCTCATAATTTAAATGGAAAACTAGCTAAGCTTCATCCTGGTTATATATAATTCCTTAATTTACAAACTGGACTCAGCAACAATTATGAGAAGGAAAAATTATGTTTAATGCACTAAGTTTACACAACTGTTGGTACCATATACACATTTGAGAATATTTAGCTGCATTATTTGAAAAATTCTCTTATTATTTTTCTGATTTTGCTATTTCAGGGTGCTATCTCACTATGGTTGATCCCGTTTTCCTCTCCCTTTTTACTTTATCTTGTTTTTTCTTGATTATCAAAGCCAATGATTCATTTGACGGCCATTGCTGTGCAGTGTGAGCCTTGAGATTCTAACAAGGTTAAAGGGGAGAAAGGGGAAGGGAAGTAGAAAGAGCTTAACTGTATCAAACTAATGGACGACCGTGACAGAATGGTATAAGCTTTCACTTTTCTATTTTGGTACAGCATCCATAATAATCAAGGGTACGCCCTGGCTGATCAATGCTTCCTATTAGGAAATGCCTCTTTCAATCTGGGAAACTTTCAACTTAATGGACATCGTCCTGAGTGGTCAGGAAGACAGGAAACCAGGCATGTTTGTATCCTAACTGTCAGCTTTCTGTGCCACCCCATAGACTGGTAAAGCTATCTGGTAGCAGAACTCTGGCAAACAAGCCTTCAATTACCAGCTCCTGACTTGGGGACAATGATCGACTGGATGTACATCCTCTTCCCCTGTTTCATCTGCAGGGTACTGCAATCCCCACTGGTGATTCTAATCACCTTCAGGGGACAAGTTCTCAGATCCTTTTAACCCTATGATAGACTTGGGGGTGAAAGATGTACATAGCATTGCCCTTCCTTTTTCTTAATTGAGTTATCTTTTATTGTGCCAAAATGCACACAAATTAAATTTAGCGTCTTAACATTTCTAAGTGCACAACTCACACTGTCATGCCACCATCCAGATAATACTCTTCCACCTTACAAAACAAAACTATACCCATCACACACTTATTCCCATTCCCACTTCACCCCAGCCTGGTAACACCACCCTACTTCCGTCTCTCTGGTTTTGACTACTCTAAGGACCTCATGCAAGGAAATCATAAGCATTTGTCTCTGTCCCCCTCCTTTCTTCATACCTTTCCTAACTCCACTAAATGGACTTCAAACATCATTTTTGGGAAAATTATTTTTAAAATTTGGGCTATCTCCTTCTGTCCTTCTTCATTCCATTTATGAGCGTTCCTTTTTTTTTTGTGAAAGGAAAACAATATCAGGATAATTATCTGATTCTTTCATAGAGGTCTGAGTTTTGAAGGGTAATTAACCACAACAAAGAACTACAGCTGCCAATATCTAAAATCTCAGAAATGGCTGAAAGTTCTTTTCAAAGTCTCCATGAAAGTTTTAAGTTAACTCTTCACTCTCCCTAATTAAAATTATTCCTCAACAAGACACGTCTTATAATTCTCTTGTACTGCTTTTTTCTTGGAGGCTGAATCTCTGTGTCTCAATAATAATGTTTCTCTAATATTATTTTCTTTATTCTGAAGGGTGTATATTTCAACTCTGTTTTAGATAAAAGAGGCCTTATTAAGGACTAGAGTCTGAGAACTGAATCGCGTTTAACTCTGCTGTTTCTCTAGGAATGTGTTCTAAGTTCCACCCAGTTCCTGAGAAGTGAATTTCTAAAACACAACCCAGTTTATAAACTGGAAACTGTATTAAATGCTTCCCCATGGATTTTCACTAGCAACTCAAAACTCAAAGTTGTTGACCAAATTTATGACACAGGACACACTGAACGATTAAAAATAGCCAAAAACCATGGCAGCCACCACTATCTCCAGATGCCCTGGTGGAATATATGGCTGTCTGGTTATCAGAGAGCTCAATATCCATGAGCCAAAATGCTGATCCTACAGATTCTGTGAATATTCTGTGACTTGATGATCCATCCATCTGATACTTTAAACATTTTTAATTTTTAGAAATTGACAAAATTATGTATGTTTATTGTGCATAACTGATGTTTTGTCATATGTATACATTGTGGAATGGCTCAATCAATCAAGTTAATTAATGTACGCTTTTCCTCATATACTTATCATTTTTTGTGTGGTGACAAACCCATATCCTGTTTTTGTTTCCTGCTGCATATTGAAGAAACTTTAATTAAGACACATAAAGACTTTGAAAACCCTTGGGGGAGGGACTGAAGTTGAAAATGGCTTAAAGCAGGCCAGAAACTATAGAAATAAGACCAGGGCAGAAGGCAACCAGTTAATTGTGTTATTCAACAGGAGCTACTTACAGAGGGTTATCAGAAACCAAAAAAAGAGCTGCAAAACAGAACATTAAAAAAGAAAGAAAGAAAAGAAAGAAAAAGATAAAAGCCCAGATCAGTCTTAAAACTCCAACTGGAAGATCACACACATTACCAAAGTCTCTGTGCTGGGAATGTTGATCTACGAGGTCTACACTGAACAGGAAGAGCAAACCGAAATCAAGATCAAGTTACTATAAGGGCAACAGATACGCTGACCAGCAACCGACTTAATACTTCCACAGGATCTCCCACAGCACGTGCACTCTGCTGGGCAGAGTGTGTATCTAATAAGCACAGGTTGGTAAGGTCCTAGCATATAGTCACATGCAGTAAAGTAATGCCAATTCCATATGCTCTTCTCAGCTCAGTTTCCTGGAAACAGTACTCATAGAGAATGCATGACGGCTATTCTCTGGGGATCACATCAGGGTGGAGAAATCTTGGATCTTGTGCATAGGAAAACATGCTTACCACCTAGAGACTATAAGGTCTATGAGGGGGGAAATTGTTTTTTTCCCTTCCCAGCAAATCACCCTTTCTAGGAAATCAAGTTTCTCCCTATTAGTCTCTTGGATTAATGTTCTCACATTGTGTGTGTTTTTTTCATTCATCCTTTAAGACCAATCCCCAGAAGTTAAAGTGATTCCAGAAAATAAATCAACATGGCACCCAACAGAGAGGCGGTGGTGTCCCTCTTAAACCTATCCAGGGTGTGTGTGGGGATGGCATGGGGGAGGCTGAGGATCAAGGAGGAAGCTCGCTGATCTGCTAGCCTGGTGTCTCAGGTTCATTGTGGAGGAACAACAGCTACTCTGCTTGAGAGAGAGAAACGGTCAGATATCAGATGGAGTACTTGGCAGCCCCCAGGGATTGGAACACAGCTCTGCATGGTCCCTGTCTGGCTGGTAACTTCCTGCCAGGGAAGACTGCCAAGGGGCTTGTGACAGCTGTGCAGTGAGCAAGTCTCTGGGGTTCTTTGGTGTGCTGCCATTTCTGACCTGCCTGTCTGCCACTCGTGGGAAGTAGCCGAAAGGTTCAGATGCCGAGGGACCACATTTTCCATCAGCTCTCATCTTTCAGAACTTTGCCTGCCTATCTTGTCCTTTAAGGTGGGAGTCATGGAAGATGGCCTTTGGCTTTTCTGATCAACAGGAACCTATCGATTCTATGTATGAAGGAGCTCTGTACTTTACTCTGTGTCCAGCCACCGCTGGTTTTCAATGTGACCACATAAACATACTTGTTTACTCTCCTCTTGTCATAGTCATTGATATCTGTCAAGTGTTACCACTAGGAAAAACCAACTGCCTGAATTAAAGGTAGCATTTTAACCATTTACTTCTTTAGAAAAAGGAATTTGAAAATCTCTTTGTGTGTGTGTGTGTGTGTGTGTGTGTGTGTGTGTGTGGTGCTGGGGACTGAACCCAGAGCCTTGTGCATGCCAGGCAAGCACTCTATCAACTGAGCTACATTCCCCAGCCTGGAATTTAAAAGTCTTAAGGCTTACTACTAGAAGGTTTATACTTTAAGGGGTTTTAGTAAGGGAATACTCTTTTGTATTCTTTCAAAGAAGTTAACTTTTACTTAGTTGCTGATATGTGAATTCAATTTTCCATCAAGAGTTACCTAAAGGTTATCTTAGATTCTTCTCTGAAGGAAAGGTGCAAAGTTAAAAGTAAAATTTCAGACATTACCTTTCAGCATCATTCGTCCAGTGGCTCCTCCAAAAGTATTGAGAAGGCCACTTCTTGCTCCTAAAGATGTGGTTGCCTCCAGGAGAGAACCGGTGACGTACTGAGCTATGGAAGTCCTTTGGAGGGTGGCACGGTACTCACACACGGTGTCTTGGACACATTGCTTTAAGCACAGACCAATGCTAATCCCTCCATGGACTGTCTCRGAGGCTGGAAGCTTTGGTAAGAAATGGAGAAGAGATCCAACTGTATCTTCTGTTTCTTCTCCTCTTCTTACTGCATTGTAGATCTGGGAATAGCACAAAGCACAGGAAGTATTAATCTAGTTTCTTAGAAAAGCAAATTAACCTGTTGACAAAATGCCAGGATGACTTATTAAGAAAGAAGGCCCAGTCGCTGGAAGCGCAAACACTCTTGGGCACTGGACCCATGCATTAACCTGAACATTCTACAGACACCGTCTATTTGGAAAAGCTATGTGTAGTTATGAAATAGGCCATTCAAACAAACCTGCTATCAAACAGAGCACTTAAAGTTGTACCAACCAAAAATACATTCAGCTCAAATTTCTCCCCCTCTACAGGAGAGCAAAGCTCTTCTGCAAAGAGACAGGGCAAACCTTCTTGTCCTCGCCGACTATCCTGCATGACTGTCTCATGCCTATCTGCCTCCACAAAACATTCATGGGGAATCTTTGCTCCATGCTCAAATTGAAGTGAGGACAAGAGAGTCAGGGGGAAAAAGAACCTCTCTATTTCACTCTCAGGCATAATCATCCTTTATCAGCCGAGGACACTCTTTGAATCTTTTTTTTCCCTTCCTCCTCCCTTACCTCCCACATCCAAAGAGTTGACAGCTCCTGCCTACTCTTTCTGCCCTGTCTCTGTCACTATCATGATTTTATCTCTCTTGATCACTTGAACTCTCCAAGAATGATCTCAAGAGGACTATACTATTGGGACAGATTCCCCATCCTGCCCCGGTCCATTCTAATGTAATAGCTCAACATGATGAACTGCTCTCTACAAGGCACTGTGTTGAGAGACACAGGGCAGGCATTTCTGTTTCTGTCATCTTGGAGCCTGTGAAGGGCTGCTGGGAACGGGACTTCTAAAAGGCAAACATGTGGAAGACTGTGGTGCAAGGACACTTTTGCTGGCTATGATCAGTGTCTCTGGGACCAAAGGGAGTACAAAGCTCTTCTTAAAGTCGAAGGTGTTTATACTAGAGATGAAAGTGAATTCAACTCAGGCAAGAGTTATGCTACTGTGTAGAAGGCAAAAAAAAAAATTACACAGTAACTCCTGGCAGTAAACCAAATAAAACCAGAAGAATCTGGTGAAAGGTAAACTTGTATCCATGGGAAAAGTGGCATGGTTTGGGCAAGTTCAAAAGCAACCTTCCTGATAAGGCCACTGGATGCAGAATCCATGTGATGCTATACCCCTCAATGATTTAAACTAATGAAAAATAAATAAAAATAGATTTCAAGAGAGAGAGCAAGAAAGTGAGAGCGAGAGAGAAAGAGAATGAAAAGTGTCAAGTAGCACCAATTAGCACCTTCTTCCATTTTTTGGGATATGGGGTCTGGCTGTGTTACCCAGGCTGGAGTCAAACTCTTGGGCTCAAGTGATCCTCCCCTCTTAGCCTTCAGAGGAGCTGAAACTATAGGTACATAATCAGAAAAAAGAAAAAAAAAGACAGCCAGCGGGTAGGTGCAAAAAGTGGCACATGATTTGGTGCTGCAGGATTTCACAATCTAATTTAAAGGGTAAGGTCAAAATATTATGAGGTTTGATGTTGTTGCAAGAAAGTTTTGGGTTTTTTCAAGTGTTCTGGAGAGCCAGAGTCTTCCAGACAGTGCATGGAACAGCAGGGAGAAATGTAGCATTGGGTGAGCAATCTACACTCCGACAGAAGGTTTACTACCCTGAGTTGTCTTCATCATGCTGCCTTGAGCACTTGCCTTGGTTGACTTGTCAATCATTCATCAAACCAACAGATAGTTATTTGCAGATAGTCACTGCCTTGAGACTGGGTAAATTAGACCGCTTCTTCACTCAAAGAGCTTTCAGTATTATAAGGGAGACAGAAAGCAAAGAGCTCATGATAGGGTGGCAATGCCACCCTCTTTGGTGGCATCCGTGTCCAGGAAAGGGAAGACCCTCACATATCCTCCAGGCCATTCATGTGCTGTACAACCCAAACTGCACCTTGACCGGGGCCCTCAAGAGGTCCCCTATTGAGCTGTGCTGGGTCCTTTTGAGATCCTCCATTGTACCCAGAACTTCCATAAAATTCAAACCACAGTGACTTTAACCAGATTTCTACTCTAATTTCCTCTGTCTGTGGATATACCCTGGCCACTTGGAGGCAGAGTGTGAATTCAGAGACTTAATTCTCTGTCATTAAATTTCTAGTGGTCAGTATGGCCATGAAGATGGTGTGCTGGGACACAGCTCAGTCTTTGGAGCCAGGTATGTGGGGTTGTGTACCTAGCTCTGCCTTGACCCACTAGAGAGCTAGTCATGAACATGAGCACATGGACTTGAATCTTTTGAGACAGTTTCTTCCTCTGTAAAATGGGGGTAATTATATGACTCCTTAGTGACACTGTGAGATTTACTTGACACACAACGTGCTTGACCTAGTATCTAGAAGTGGTGCCTGTTACTATTGGGTAAGTCAAGGGACAGAATATGCTCTCCCACCCTCAAGGGACTACAGAGCAGAGTCTATGCAATTCAGTGCGATGGGTTATTCCTGTGCTCTCGTGGTGTTGCTGGACAGCATCATCCTAGCCTTATCTGGGTGTGTTGTGAAGGCCAAGATGGGGAAACAGCTACACGGCTCAGGGTGTGATTTTTTTCACTCAGCTCCAAATCATAAAGGCAATCCCCAACACACTAAGGTCCATGCAAGTGCATCAGAAGTAAATTCTCTAGACATTAGGGAAAAGAACTCTCTAGACTAAGGGCTTCAGCAGGGAAATCAGGGTTTGACCTGAGCCTTGGAAAGCAGTGTGGCCCAAACTTGAGCAGGTGGGGGAAGTAACTCACAGCGGAAGCAACAGTGAAGAGGCGGGAAAATGCAGATTGTGTCCTAGAACAGCACACAGAGCAGTGTTTAGAGCAGCACGTGATTGGAGGTTATAAGGGCAATGAGAAAGCTCAGAGGAAGTGATAAGACAGAGCCTGGACTGTTAAAGCAAAGAGCTTAACCCATCAGAGGTGGGCGATCCCTGGTGCTTTTTGTTGTTATTTTCACCAGAGGAATGATGCTAGGAGGCTTTGTTCAAAAACCAACATGCAGGACGGTTCCTGGTTCTAATGGTGTGCCTGTATCCTTCACTGGCCAAGTTGCTCTGCTGGCCCGCCGAGCCCTGCCTGCAATTGTCTGCATTCCACTCTCCACATCACCCTTCATAGATTCCCCATGTCTCATTCAGTCCTTAAATATAGTTTTTTTTAAAGATGTTTTACTCAAAATATTAGATTTATAAAGGATTGCATAACCTAAGGACTCCTAGATCACAGAAGCTTGAAAATCAGTGAATATTCTCCCTTTTGTAGATTTATGTTTCATAACCGAAGGTTAAAGATAATTGAAATGCTTTGAGTAAAAAAAAATATTGTATTTTGTTTTACTGGGTGTTTGAATATTTCTCAAGTTGTTGAACCAAGGATTTAGAACACTTAGTCTATAAATGGTTATATCAAATAATTTGTTCTAATCGAATTTTTTATTCCCATTTCCTTGACCTCTGTGGAATCCTAGAAATAGACAAGTCTCAATCCTTCTTGATGTCTTTCTTCTCATTTCACAGCTCCATTTTCACCTTACTCTGTGTCTCACCCTCTACCTCAGGGCTTCAGGACAGTAATAATGCAATGGAGAAGTACCAACAGGTACTTAATGTAGGAGGTCACAAATAGATGGCCATGAACCAGACTTAGCCAATGGACTGGTTTCAACAGACACACGGGGCTTTAAAATCAGGAAAGTTTACATACAGCATCCTGAAGCCTGGAACAGTCTGGTAGCAATGAGCATGCCTACACGGCCTCAAATAACTAGGCTTTCCACTGCAAGATGGAACATGAACTCACCAGTTGGTACCAGTACCCATGGCTCTCGTGATCACACCTGGCCACTATCTGATTGTCATTGGTACATTTATTTGGAACCTTTGTCTTAATGAAATTTTGATATGAATGCAGATAAACACACACTAAGCTCCTCTGACGTATTCTCTGTGTATTCTTGCCTGTGATAATTACAGAGCTTATAGCAAGAAAACCATCATCTCTGCTCTCAAAAAATGTTGCAACTTACCACCAAGAAATGACTAATAAATATATTAATGCTGTTTATATTAAGTTATCATTCCTCATTGCCACCAGCCACTTGTTTCTAGGCCCTCGGACTTGTCTGAAGAAATAGAAGATGAAGGGCTCTAAGAACAGTGGTCTGAGCTGCTACCACCTTGGCTAACATCCCACCTTAAGGAACCAGAAAGAGCTCACAGGTCTCTTCCAAGCTCTGTACAAATATATCCTGGCCATCCAATTCTGGATGATCAGAATTCAAGGTGCTAGTTGGGAAAATGCTGAGTTGTACTAGATGCAGTAATGCTCAGAGACCATGTCAAAATCTGATTAGTCTCTCTTACCTGATCACTCGCTTTTATAAAAGAAGAAATCATGGGAACCCCTCACCCCCACATGGAGTGGGAAGAGAAGGCAGTATAGAACCATCATCACTACGGTGGCTCTGGAGCACTGCTCTGAGTCCTGGCTCTCTACCTCCTGGCTGTGTGACCTTACTTAGAGAGGTTGCTTTGTCATTCTGTGCCTCAATTTCCTTTCCTCTAATATGGGGGACATAAATGTATCTGCCTCATAAAGTTGTGACTAGAGTTATAAGCTTTGATAAAGATAATGGGATTAGAACAATATCTGGCACTTAGTGAATGCTCAACAAATACTAGTTCTTACAATGATGGAGACAGTGATGATTGTGGTAGGCTCGAAAAACTGTCATTCATTATTTCCCATACTGACTCTGGCTGCCCTTGTGATTTGCTTAACCAAGGGGAATATAGAAAAGGCCACAGAGCCTCAAAAAATACCTGTTCACTGGAGTTCATTCTCTTTTGTTGTTTTGAGGACGATATAACAACTTGCATGTTCAGAAGCCTGAGCTAGCTTGCTGGAAGATGAGAGATTATGGCCCAGTCACTCCTGTCACCTTGGCTGCTAGCCTGCCAACAGCCATCCACACAGTGAT